CATTGACTGGACTTGGTGGTGCAAAGATTGTGTGCAACAAACAGGGATTGCTTCAAAAGAAGGTTCATAATTTGCGGAGAGTGAGAGAGGCAGGAGAAAGCTGATTGGAGTTCCCAAAAAGTGGTGAATGGGCAGTGGTGAGGGAGCGGAGGATTTGCCCAAGGGACTGAGTTTTGAGAATTGAGACGAACAAAGAAAGGAAAAATATTGAAGATCTTTAAAGACTCCTAGATTTAAAAAGAGAGCTGGATTTGGTTGAAATAAAAGACAGTTGCTAGGCTCTTATACTGGACAGTGACAGTGATAGAGAAAAACAGAAGAGGAAGTGGCTGAAGTAACAGAGGCGATTGGTGTCCATTGAGGAGAACAGTTATTACTCAGCAATTTTGCTTTCAAGATAAGAGAATTGATTTGTGAAAAGCAATTTTGAGGGGTGAAATACCTGCTGAATTATTGGATTATTAGCTTTTTGCTTGATTGTAGTTGAATTAATGAATTAATGCTTATTTATACAATTTTAGAAACATATTTATATTTATAATTTTTTTTATAAAACTTAGAGATTGATAAAATTAGTAACTTATGATTAGAGATCTAGAAAGTAATTTTTTCCATTAGTCCATATTATATTTATATCTTTATATCTTATATTTATATCTATATATTTATATAGTCATATATATTTTCTAATTTAAAATAGAAGTAAGGGGGGATGTGTTGATGAATTGGAAACAACAGTGATGATTTGAGTAAGTGTCTTATAATATATATTATATATAATCCATATATCTTCTAAGACTTTGTTATAGATATTAAGTGAAGACTTTATTAATTAATTTAAAATCCTATAGGGTTGTTAAGGATCTTATATAGAAAAAGTGTGACCCATAAGAGTTATAATATACAGCTATACAACACTTTTAATTTAAGTGATTAGAAGGATATAAATTAATTCTGCTTGATTAAAAGATAGAAGTGAGGTGTACTGTAAATAATATTGATAATTAATTGATTTTATAATAGGATATACTAAAATAGAAATCTTAAATTTAGGAATGAACATATAGAAATCCAGAAAAGGATAAACTTGGGGTATGATTCTAAAATTCTGGTGAATGTTGATTTGGGACAACATATATAGTATTTTAGAGAAACAGAGTGAAATATTAAAAGAAATGATGAGCATCACCATTACGATGGTGAAAGCCAGAAAAAAGACAACACCTATGTCAACACTCTCAATGGCAGCCGCTTCACCCTTAACACAAAAAATGATTGAAGGGATGCTCACAACAGAGAAGCAGAGCACAGCTCCAAATAACCCAAATATACAAACTACGCTATTAATGATACAAGAAACGATAAAGCTTCAGGAAACAATGATGAAAAACCATAGCGAAATGAAAGCTGAAATAAATGAAATTAAAGAAATGGGGAAATTAAAAAGTGAAATGAAATCTGATATATTCAAATTAGATGAAAAAGTTGGCTCAATACAGCGAGCATTAGAAAAAATGAACGTACAATAAAAAATGTGGAAAAATGAACAGAACAAACAGAAAAAAATAGAATTGGTTGATCAAAAAATGAAAACAATAAACAAAGAAATGGAAGACCCTCTTATCCACTTAGAGATGAACTGTGCAGCTTCGTACCTTAGGTTCCAGAATGTTGTGGAAACAAAGGAAGAAAATTTAGAACTAGTGATGGCCAAAATTCTAGCAGAAACATTACAGCTAGACAAAAATGAAATATTGACTGAGAAATTTAGAGAAATTTAGAAAAAAATTCTTAATCTAAATTTTAGATTAAAATTTAGATTAAGAAAATTATATACAGTTTCAGCAGACAGAAAAAAAAAGAATAGCGGTATATGTTAACGAGGAAATAAAATTGAAGTTAATTTTTGTGGATCCCAAAGGAAGAATATTGATGATCTAAGTGTGGATAGCTCAAAACCAGTTTTGTTAGTAGTAATGTATGCACTCAATGAAAATCAACAAGAGTTTTATGAAAAATTACACAATAAAATTATTGAATTGGAACCAAGAAATATATGCATCATAGGAGATTATAATGCAATAGTAGATTACAAAAAAGACTGCAGTAATGAAAAGAAAATTGGGGGGGGGAAGTAGACTATTACCAAGAACAGGTTTTGAAATGATTTCAGAACTCAACCTATTAGATGTTTGGAGACAACTGAGTCCAGATAAAAGATAATTTACTTTTTATTCTAATCCACATCAATCATGGTCCCACGTTGACATGGCCTGGATGGACGGAGAAATAGGAAGAGAAGTGGAGGACATAGAAATACTACCAAACACTTGGGCAGACCACAATCTGCTTAAAATAACTTGGAGAGGTTGGAAAAAAAATAAGACAAAGATGGATTTTAAATACACAAATATTAAAAGATAAAGAATTTATTCTGAAACTTAAAGAAGAATTAGCACTATTTTTTAATGAAAATACTAGACAACATACATTGACACAAAATCTTTGGGACACCATGAAGGCTTACATATGCGGAATCATAATATCTTATACAGCTAAAAAGAATAAAGAGAGGTGGACTCAACATAATACCTTGCAGGAAGAAATTAAAAATTTAGAATTTCAGTTGCAAAAAACACCACAAAAATAATAAAATTAGAGAAAAACTGTCCTTAGTTAAACATAAATTTAATATATTAGAAAATGGTGAAGAAATGGTGAAAAACCTAAAAGCAGCCAAACAAACCTTTTTCGAGCAAGCAAATAAACCGGGAAGATGGCTTTCATATAGACTTAAAAAGGAAAGGGAAAAGAGAATAATATATCAACGACAGGGGTCTAAATGCAGTGTGCATGGAAAATGTGTACCCCTGCCCCTCATGCTGGCCCACCTTTCAAAGGGCAAGATGTTTTCTAAGCTGGACTTGTGGGAAGCCTTTTACCAAGTGAGGATTTGGGAGGGGGATGAATGGAAGACAGCTGTTAACTGCCCACTGGGACGTTTCCAGTTTAATGTGCTCCCATTTGGGCTCCAAGGGCCCCTGCAGTGTTCATGCAGCTGATAAATAAGGTGCTGCATGAACACCCATATAATAGTGTTTTGGTGTATATTGATGACATTCTGATATATATCGAAACAAAAGCTGAGCACATAAAGCTGGTCCAGGCAGTCCTGAAAAATCTCTGAGCCGCCAAACTATACTCTAAACTCTCAAAATGCGAATTCCACAAAGACAAAATAGATTATTTGGTTCCTTTTGAAATGCTGTTTGTTTCAATAATTCTACTTTCTTGAGAAGGCTGGTGAGGTAGGGACCTTACCATTCTATTTCATTATTTCACTTTCACCCATTCTTCTAATATATCGATATCATACTGAATTTTATTTCTGTGTTCTGAGATATTATGTATCTAACCTGACATTGAGTAATCTACAAATTTGGTAGCCTAATAGCCCCTATTCTTCAAATTCATTCATAAGAAAATTGAGGGAAAAAAGGACTCAAAACCTTTCTTTGTGGAACCCCACACAGTCTCTCTCTCTAATGTGATAAGGAACCACTGGCAAACACTGTTTATGCATTTTGCATTTTGCAGTTATGTATATATTTAATTATCCTGCCATTCAGCCTGAATGGTATGTCATTAAGATCTTGTCAGATGATTTGCTAATATCGATATGTCTACAACACTCCCAAAACCTATTCAAGATGTTACCCAATCAAAAAGTGAGGCAAGATTATTCTAGAAAATTTATTATTGGCAGATCTATGATGGTTTCTAAGTTTTAATCTTCTCTGCCAAATTTCAGCATAAGATTTACCAGTCTGCAGTTTGTTTGGTCTTCTCTTTCATTTTCTTTAGGATGAAAAGATGGTGATAACATTTGCTCTTCTTCAGCCAGATAGATTATACATAAAAGATTTGTACATCAGCTAGTTCATCTAGCACCCTAAAATTCAATTTATCTCTTTCTAATGAAAACTGAACTAAAATAGGAATTGAATAGCGTACTATTTCCTTGTTAACATTAACTTCATTGAGCAGCTGAAAATTAAGAACTCTGACGTTACATGATCATTTTCCCACAGTTGCTGTATTAGTCACTCCAACTAAATTTTCCAAGTGATGGAAATGAATGCATTTTGAATAGGGACACAGTGGCTCAGTGTCTAAGACGCTGAGCTTGTCAATCAGAAAAGTTGGCAGTTTGGCAGTTTGAATCTCCAGTGCTGCATAACAGAGTGAGCTCCTGTTACTTATCCCAGCTTCTGCCAACCTAGCAGTTCGAAGATGTAAAAATGCAAGTAGAAAAATAGGGACCACTTTGGTGGGAAGGTAACAGCGTTCTGTGAACCTTCGGCATTTAGTCATGCTGGCCACATGACTACGGAGACATCTTTGGACAGCTCTGGGTCTTTGGTTTTGTAACAGAGATAAGCACCACCCCTAGGGCCATAAACAACTAGCCTGTATGTGCAAGGGGAACCTTTACCTTTGCTATATTAATAAAAGGTCAAGGTTTGAAATAAAAGATAATACATGAATTGAGCAGATGTTTGAGAAAGTGCTACTGAAAAACAGCATAGACAGACAAATGGGAATGAAGAAGCATCAGTAGCTATGTTTAGCATTCCAATGCAGCAAGAGTATTCAGATGTTCAGATTTCAATGTTCCAATTGGCAAATTCCTTGGAAATTTAGAGAACAAGCTAAGAAATAGAAAGGATAGATAGCAATTAGGTAAATTTCCACACGAAGCCCATTCCCTGACTTCTGCTCAAGTCAAAATAAATCAATATTAAAACATGGGAAAGAATGTAATAATAATTATTCTGCAAGTTCAGCAAAAAGGAGGGGACTAACAAAACCCATCATATTTTGAGACTTAGATTCTGTCTCTGGATCTTAAAATCCAATCTTCATCAGGCAACAAAAATGATGTAGCTTCTTTCTGAATAATTTGCTGATGCTGAGTGATCTGTCTTTTTCCCCCCCAGATTTCGTGTCACCCATATTGAGAAAAAACCCACTTCCCATGGATCCCAGGAGGAATCTTTTAATGAGAACAAGCCAGATGTAGCTGATACATATCAGAAGACTAATAGCAATGAGAAACTTCAATGGATTGGGTCACAGAATGGAATTGTTCATACAGATGGAGCACAGGAAAGAAAATTAGCTCAGCCAGATTCTGAAAGACCACCAAAGGAGACTACTGCAGATGATTTAACTCAATCAGAGACTCATTTAAATTTAATAGCCAATACAAATATAGCCATAAATGAAACAGAGGGAGGATACCCTAAGGCATGTTTTTCACAAGAAGCAATAAATTCTGCTGTTAGTTATGCAACTGAGATTAACTCCACTTCAGGACCCAAAGACCTTTCATCAGAAGAGCTAGAGGAGGATAACAATGCTGAACAGGTGGGCCATCAGAGCGTAGCTTATGAAGTACCAGACAACAAACAACGAGTTTCAATAGGACCCAAACTGGAAATGTGCCCAGTACAGCAAATGGCATAAGGCATCAGGTATTCTAATTTCTTTCTTGTTTTCTCCTATGTACATCTAGAAATTCACAATCCGAATTTTGTTCTTTCAATATATAAAGCCATTCGAAAAATATGAATCAAATATTGATTAGTGCAACAGTTCTAAACGTATACAGTGTGCTGAGGCTATTGAAAGAGCTGGGACAGTGTTGCACAAATTCCCTTGTGAAAATGGTGAAATAAGGGCAATATCTTTAGGGAAATTGAAATGCCAAATAAGTATACTTTTTTTTTTAAATACTTACAGTAATTCCATCTTTCATTCAGACAGTGTGTCGACTGGGTACATATATCTTGTACTAACAATTGTAATTAGTATTTTTCTTATCAATATAACAATAATCATGTTTTCTTTATAAGTCATTATCTCTTATATCTGTTATCTTTATTACAATCTTATTTCTTTATATATTCATCTACTCTATTTTAACTTGTTTTATTTTCCAACCATTGATAAAATAGATCAGTGGTGGGATTCAATTTTTTGTACTACCGGTTCTGTGGGTGTGGCTTGGTGGGCGTGGCATGGCTTGGTGGGCATGGCTTGGTGGGCGTGGCAAGGGAAGAATACTGCAAAATCCCCATTCCCTCCCCATTCCTGGGGGAAGTTTACTGCAAAATCCCATTCCCTCCCCACCCCACTAACCTGTTGTCCAGCTCCGTTCTCCTGTGTTGGGCAACAAAAGAAGCCCAGCCAATCAACTGGGATTTGGGAGGCAGAGAATAGATGGGGGTGGGGCCAGTCAGAGGTGGTATTTGCCAGATCTCCGAACTACTCAAAATTTCTGCTACCGGTTCTCCAGAACTGGTCAGAACCTGCTGAATACCACCTCTGAAATAGATCCCATACCATGTAATATTCAGTTTCTTCTTTTTCTTTAATTGCCAGTGTTAATCTATTCATTTCTGCACATTCAAATATTTTCTCAATCACTTTCCCCTCTGCTGGTATTTTATCGCTTTTCCAGTTCTGAGCAAATACAATCCTAGCTGCTGTTAATACATGAATAATTAAGTATGTTTCTTCTTTGCTGTGACCTTCTGGTACCATTCCTAATAAAAATATTTCAGGTTTCAAATCTATATGTTTATAATTTTTTCCAACCATGTAGGTATTTTTGTCCAATATCTTTTGGCTTCCACACATGTCTACCACATATGGTAAATATGTTCCAGGTGTCTGATGGCACTTCCAGCATTTGGCTGATTTGTCTTTAAACATCTTTGCCAGTTTTGCTTGTGCAAAGTGCGATCTATAAAACTTCTTATACAAATTTTCTTTGTATGCTGTCGATATTGTTAATTTATAATTTCTTTCCCATAGCTTCTGACATTTGTCTAATTCTATAGTGTACCCAAAGTTTTTCGCCCATGCTATCATTGTTTCCTTTACTTGCTCTTCTTCTAGTTTGACACCTAATAAATAACAATACAATTTTTAAATCAACTGTCCTCCGTTCCTGTTAATGTTTTATCCAGTTCTGCCAACTCATTGTGGATACCTTCAGCTTTAACATCTTTTTCATATCTTGATTGTATTTGCATATATGAGTACCAATGTATATCAACCCCTTGTTCATTCAATTTTTGTTTGGTTTTGAGTTCACGCTTTTCATTCAATATATCCTTATATCTAACAATAGTTCCCATTTTACCGATATACTTCCATTGTTTATAACCAGATTGGAATTTTCAGATAATGTTGTTCTCTAGTTTGTCCCATACTAACAATAAAGCATTCCTAATAAAATATCTTCAAAAATAACCATGTATCTTACTTCCCCTGTACCATAGAAATGCATGCCAACTCAATTGCAAATCATATCCCTCCAGTGTCAACAACCTTGTGTTTCTTAACTTAATCCATTCTTTCATCCAAGTTAGTACTGTGGCCTGATAATATATTTCCCAGTTAGGTAACCCTTCTCTGGTTCTTGCATCCTGTAACGTTTTAAGGTTACTTCTTGCTTTCTTCCCTTGCCATACATATTTCAATACTATTTTGTTAATATCTTCAAAGTATTTTTTTCTCCAGTTTTATCAGAATTGTTTGAAACAGATACAACACTTTTGGTAATATATTCATCTTAATCATTGCAATTCTTCCTATTAATGATAATTGCATATTACCCCATTTTTCCAAGTCTGTCTTAATTTGTTGTTTTAATTTATAGTAATTATCTTCCTTAATTGTTCCACATCTGGCCATTAACTGGATCCCTAGATATTTTACTTTCTTTGCAATCTGAATATCTAATCTCTCCATTAACTCTCTTTTCAAATCAAATCAACTTTTATTGTCAGAGTACAACATGTGTACAATGAGATTGGCTGAGTCTCCCTTCATTTTTTGTTTCTCTGTCATATTTTTTACCAGTACCTTAGTTTTCCCCTTATTTATTTTCAGTCCTGCCACTTTTCCATATTCCTCTATCTTATTTATCAGCTTAGGTCATGTTCCTAATGTTTTCCTGTCCTTTTTGTTTATCTTTTGTGTTTTATATTTCAGCATCCACTATTTCAGCATCCATTATTGGATTAAAGTCTCCTAGGATGCATATACTTTCATATTCTAGTTCCATTACTTTCTTATGTAAATTATCATAGAATTCTTCTTGATTCTCATCTGGTGCATATATTGCCACTAGTAATGTTTGTTTATAATTAATCATTATTTCCACCATTAGCACCCTCCCTTCATTATCTTGAGATATTTGTTTAGCTTTTATTGTATCTTTAATAAATAGTGCTACTCCTCTTTGTTGTGCCAGGGAGATGTATAATTTCCCATTTTGGGGATAGTCCAATATTTTATCATGTTGTTTTTTATGTGTACCTCTTGTAAACAAATTATACCCGATTTTAGTTTCGCTAATTTATTAAAAATGTTTTTTTATTGCAGAATTCAGTCCATTTATATTAATTGACATCAATTTTATTGCTTCTTATTTATAATAAGCATTTATTGCTCTTGTTGCTCTTATCTCCCTTGCTTCCTTCGGTTTAACTTCTTCTCTTATCACTCTTTCTTCTTGTTCTCTTTCCTCTCCTCTTTGTCTTCTCTCTCCTACAGTTTCCTCTCTTTGTTTGATTTCTTCTATTTCCCTCACTCTCTCTCCCTCTTCATCTCTAAAATACTGGTCATAAAATTGCTCCGCTTTCTCTATTGAATCTAGCCTGTGTCTCTGTTCATGCCATGTCACCATTATTCCCTCTGGTGTCAGCCATCTAAAATTAATCCCTCTTTTAATTAAACATTTTGTCAAGAATTGATATTCCCTCCTTAAATCTCTGATGCTTCTTGGTATTTGCTTCAAAATTGTTATCGCCTTCCCTTGTATTTCAATGTATCGTCTCTTGCTTTCTGTAATATTTATGTTCTTGTCGCTTTGTGAATCTAACTTGTACCTCCCTTGGTAACTTGTTCCTCAGTGTGTCTGGTCTGTACTCCAAATATTTCATCTATATCTACCATTACTTTTTCTTTTGTCACTTCCAAGGTCCCTGCCAACAAGTCTGCCATTATTTCTGCTAAATTTTCCTCCTTTTCTTCCTCAATTTTGAAATCTTAAATTGGTGCGATCCATTTCCAACAAGAAATTTTTTTTCTCCTTATTTTGGTCTGCTAGTGTCAGCCCATTTCTCCTTCTCCTTTTTCTATTATGTCTGCTCTCTTCTATTTTTCCCATACATTCCTCATTTTTCACCATCATTTGCTGAATGTTCTCTACCTTTTCTTCTACATTCGCTACCTTCCCCTCTACATTCCCTACTTTCTCTTCCAATCTCCCTATTTGTTCTTGTACAGCTTGTAAAATCATTTTAATCTCGGCTTCCATTGTAACCCTCTTTTCTTGCTGTAACATAATGTCCAGAGATCTTTGTCTGGCAGGACCTGAAGTAGTTGAGGAAGAGGCAGAAGATGGGGCAGATGTTGTTGCTTTCTTCATTTTGAGATATTGTGTTTGTTGTCTCTTTATAACTTCTTTATAATCTGTCATGTAAGATCCAATCAAGTCAGCAAATCAAAAGCAATTTATAATCCACAGCAAAGTTTTCTCCCAAATTCTTCAGGTTCTTCTGTACCTTAATCCAATTCACATTTATTGTACTTTCCAAAAAGAAGTAGATATACCAAAAACAGCAAGAATAATAAAACTGTGTTATATCCAGAAAACAAAATATGGAATATAAAAATATTATGGAAAAATAAGTATGTAGGATCAAAATAAAAAGTTTAAAAATCCTTTTTTTTAAAAAAAAATTAAAATTTAAAAATTGAGTAAAAAAGAGAAAAAGGAAAAAAAACAAGAAGAAAGAAAAGCGAAAGATTATCCAATGGAAATATAAGATTATATCCAAGGATTAATATAATAATATTAGTCCAACCATTAGTTATGTCCCCACAGTAATTTCCACAGTGAAAGTTTGCGGTTGTCCTTCAATAAAAATAGACACAACAGTGCAGGAGAAAAGGATTTAATCTTCTATTTCTTTGTATCTCATTTGTTTCTTTTCCAAGAATAGATGTATGGAAAAATAATATCTTTCAGTCAAAGTGAATATAATCTTAAATCTAAAGAAAAGTTGGAGTCAAAAGGATTTGTCTGTCATAGATTTACATATTGAAAGATTTAAACTAGACAAAAAAAACTATGGGTCTGATCTTGGAAAAAATTAATTTGAAATTGTATTGTGTGGTAATGATGAACATGCAATTGCCGAGGTTTATAAACTATTATTGAAATTGAATTTGGAGAATGAATATGTGAAACAAAACATGATTCAAGGAGCAAAGAATTTTGGCATAATATAATGCTTAAACAATGGGAACTCATGTGGACGAAGGATTTAAAATTTACACTGAACTATAATTTGAAAGATTTTTTTAAAATAAAGGATAACACTGTTAAAGATGTGTAAAGGTCTTAGCAGATCCCAAATGGCAGAAAAGGCTACATAAATATGTAAGGCAGTGGAAGTTACTCTATAGACTGAAATTCTAGAAAACAAAGCTGAAATTGTCATTGTAGATTGAGAATACAATGAGCAGTTTAACCTATTAAAGAAACAAGTGTGCAGTCTGCAAAATTTTAAATGGAACAGTGTCCCTCCATTAGACACAGGTTCATGAACTTGAAAAGTAATGTTGTAAGGACATGTCTCAGCTATCTTCTGAGAAAAGTATGACTTTTGAAAAGGTAGCAGTTAAAAAAGAAACTTTTACTGAGAGAAAGTGATCGCAGAGAAGTCAGGCAGAATTTGAAAAGTCCGTACAAAGCCTCAAGCTATTTTTCCCTCTTCAAACCCTACCCAATCCCCCAGTCCCTCGGTAGCCAATAATACCTGCAAACGTGTTTTGAGAAACTCTGAGATGTTAACTTGATAATAGTTCACTCTCGGGGCACTGCGACCTTTCAAATGTGGCTTTGGCATTTGACCACTTTAATGGTTGGCTAGGTTTAGGCTTGTCTTTAGTTTTTAAAAGATTAGTGATAAGGAGAGTTATCTGAACAAATGAGGGGATGGCTTGCTGGTAAAAGTTCACAAATCCCAGGAAGCTCTGTAGTTGCTTCCTTGTGCAAGGCAGAGTCCACTCTAACACTGCCCAGACTTTCTCTGGGTCCATTTCAGTCCTCTCATGGGAGATCCAGTACCCCATGTAATCTATTCTATCTTGATGGAATTTGCACTTGGAAAGTTTGGCTTAAAGTTTAGCAGCACACAGTTTCTTGAGAACATCCCTAACCCGCTTCACATGCCCTGCCTTCATTTCAGTGTAGATTAAGATGTCACAAAGTAGACCAGTACTCCTTTATATAAGTGTTCATGCAGCACCTCATTTATCAGCTGCATGAAGACTACGGGTGCCCCCTGTAGCCCAAAGGGAAGCACCCTAAATTGAATGCAACCAAGTGGGCAATTAAAAGCGGTCTTCCATTCATCCCTTTCCTCTGATCCTGATGTGGTAGTATGCCTCTCATAAATCCAGTTTAGTAAAAAAAAAAAAAAACAACCTTCCCCTTTGCCAAGTGGGCCAGCATGTCCTTCATCAGACACACATTTTCCATACATACCGCTTTCAGAGCACGATAATCCATGCAGAGATGAAGAGATCCATCTTTTTTCTCTCTGAATAGAACTGGGGCCGCTACCTGGGGTCCCACTGCTTGGCTGAACTCCTGGCCCAGGTTTTTAACAATAAAAATAGAGCTGTGTGCATGTGTGCTGTCAGGATTCCGGCAGATACCCCAATTAAATCATGAGTCTCGAGCCAAACTTCCAAAACTTCAAAAGGATTTATTGGGAGTTAACATGTCTGGCACTGCCTGGGTGTAGTCAACTCTGAGACACATAATTCATTGTCACCCTTGACCCTGGTTTTCCCCCATCCCCTGGGTGTATCATAATTCATATTCTCCAATGTGACACATCCATAGCCATGAGTCATCAATCATGTTCTCCCATTAGATATTTGCACAGCAGAAACTTCAGTCACCTAGTTACTATTTTTGAAAAACTATTTATAGAATGCACTTTCAATTTCCAAGCTGCCACACTGCTCTTTCAAACCCCTTTCCCCCCCGCTTTCTGTTGGCAACTCTAAAAAGACCATATAAATATTTTATGAGTTGACATGTGCACTCGTCCACCACTCACACAAATCAAGCTGTGTGCATGCATCCACTTGCCCGCTGCTCACACAAATGGGAACTGCATGTGCACATGTGCTCAACCTCCACTCAAGCAAATGGTGCTGTGTGCATGCAGTCATCTGTAGCCCAGAGGTTGTAGGCTCCTTCCATAAGCATTCTTGTATAATAGTTGCATACTAGAGCCATCTTAACTCTTCACTTACATAGGTGTTGATTAATATAAGTCTTGTCTATAATTGGCCACAGGAACTAGAAGATTTGGCTAATCCCTAGGAAAATGAGATGTGCTAAAATGAATTAAAGATTTACACAAATAATTCAGGAAAGACTGAAACCTCATAATGAAAGCTGAGCTTAGAAATCTGCACACGTTCCTCTTTATTCTGTTCAGTATGCTGGGAATAGGCCAATTTCAATAAAGATTCAAATAATCCTCTATGAGGGCTTATTTTAACCATCATCATGATTATTCTATGAAAACAGAATTAAATAAATTCTATTAACTGATGAGACTAATTTTTAATTTCTATTTATATAAGTGACAAAACCCTGCCATGGGTAGGTCAAGGGCATTAGTAAAGTAAACCAAACAGGTAAGATTACAGCATCAGGCTTGTAGAAAGCCTAGAATAGTGCTTAATCCTGCTGGGAATGGATTTGCAATGGGACACCAATAAAATGGCATTTTGACACTCACCATCTTTGTTCTTTCAGGTCCTATGAACTGCATGCTCCTTAGCATGAGTTGCTAAGGAGAGAGATCCACATGGAATGGACCTCAGGTTTGCAGGGATGAAGTTGCAACATCAAAGCAGAATAATCCTGGCTGGAAAAGCTACTCTTTACTTGGAATGGTCAGACCACCAAAAGAACATGCTACTGTCATCAGTAAAGCTGGCAAATTCCATATTCCCATTACAATCATTCTCCATGCAAAAGCAGAACAATAATCACAAGGATAGGAACATGTTAGAATAAACAAACATTAGTGGAAATCCAAGCCCCTCTGTACTCTTGAAAACTTTGCTAAAGTCAATCTTTTACTATTATGTGTCTTTTAAGAGAGCATGATATATAAGCATGTCTCCACTGATAAGAATTCTACTCATCATACTGAAGTTCAGTATGGGGTACTTGCAACAATTCCAGTCTCATAGACTTCTACTGTTAACAATAGAAAAAGCAACTAACAAATTATTCTAGTTCATGGTAGTTGGCATACATCTCTCACACAAGGGTTTCCCTAGCAGCTCTGGGTGGCATATTTCTGAAGCACCATTGACTTGTTTCTTTCAGAGGGCAAAACACATCCTCCAGATCCCAAGAGATCTCAGACATGTAGGGGGATGAATAGGATAAAAAGGTTCTGTGTTCTTTGCATATGCAATGACTCAGATAAGACAACAGCTAAATTATTTAGAATTGTGTGCATACCTGTGCCCATTTTAACTTTGAAACACAGTGACTTTGAGGTCTTTATTAAAGAAGTATTTGACTTGTAAGTGCTGTATACCCAGGAGCAATGGAGTTGTATCTCACATTGCCAAGCATTAAACAAATCTTGCGACTGAGGAACTGCATTTTCTTTATTGAATACAAATCTGTCTCAGCAGAGGGGAAGGACACTTTTTCTAGGAATGCAATAAAGAAATAGGCATTTTCCTACCTAATGGTAGGAAAACAGAATACTGTTTTTGTTTCCACAAATGATAATAACATAGCCTGACTTCCATAACATAGTGAAGTAGCAACTTGCTTTGAGCTTTTTCATTGTGGTGTTTAACGCAAAAGGTCTGAACGTGTGTACATGTCAGATACCCTTGCCCAGTAAAAAAACCTTGGAGGATCACATGAAAATTTGGGATAGATTTTTCTTTCTAGGAGCAAAGACTTGAATCTGAATTTGGGGATCAACTAAATCCTTTAGAATTTTCCTATTATGCTCTTCTGTAAATATTAATTAAAAAGCCATTATATAAATCCTACATGATATTTGTGTGTGTGAAATCAAAATAATACTAACGCATTTAAATGCAGTAAATATGGAAAAATATAATGGTTCAACATCTATTGCTTTTCAAAAATAGAACACATGAACTACTTGCTCTGAAGAAAGCAGTAAAAGAATGAGAATAGGGGGGAAATGGACAGATGGCTAGATCTATGAAATAAATCTGTTGGTATTTAATCTACACTCTCCTGCCACCTCAGGAAGCTCCTGGGCCCGATGCAGATTTTCTCACTAGCTTGCAAGTTCAGTTTAAAAACAGTTGATGAGGGCTGTTGACAGGTGGGTGGATACGCTACTTCTGATTCAGCCAGCACTACTGTAACTATCCACTGCTCCTGCCTCTAGGACAGCAATGAAAAGTTGCTTGCTTTGGAAAAGGAAACAACACAGAAAGATTTGCCTTTCTCAAGAGTCACGTATGTAGCAGAGGTGGTCCAGGCTGGTTCTGAAAAAATGAAACAGCATCCATTCAGGCAAAAGGGGTAGCTTCCCACTAATTCTCCTGAATTCACGGATGTGTTCCTTGATGGGTCACCCTCCCTGCTTTAGGTTGCTGAGTTCATCTTCTGCATATGGGTCATCCTCTGCCTCCTGAAATCTGGCCTCTAGCAGTCGTAGGAAGTCATCTGCGTCATGCATTTGGGGGGCGGGCTTCTCTTGTGGAGGGTTGCTAGCCATCCTCTTGCTTTTATCTCCAGCCCCTCAGAAATGGCATTCACCATGGCTCTAGGGGAGGGGTAGAGGTGTCCATAACATTCTAGGTAGATCTTAGCTGAGTCAAGGAATAGAGCTAGCTGGTCTGGGTCCCCATCAAGTTTCCCCCTGATCAGGGGCAGTTCATAGAGCTCTGCTCTGCCCTCTTCCTTTCGCACTCTGTAAATCTGTGCTTGAGGTGGCTGACCTTCCTCCCTAGCTCTAGTTCATGCAGAAGGAGGAAGGAGATACCTGCTGCGTGTGGGAGGCACTGGTTGCCACTGTGAGCTCTTTCTTCTTCTGCTGGGTAGAGGAGGAGGGTGTAATCTCGCCTACTTCTCCTCACATCAGAAGGCTCTGTGGGAGGTCCCCTCTGTTTTGGGCAGCATGATGGTCAAATTCCTTCCTTAGCTGCTCTATGGATCTCCCCAGGGATCCCGACAGGAGCTTTGGGGCTCTGTCTTGTTCCCAGTCCCACATCCATTCCACTCTTATCAGCTCACTCAGGGCCCTTCCTTCTTTTTTAAGCTGGGGGAGCTCACCTTCCAAAGCTGTGGGAGGTTTTGTTTCCTTTATTTGCTCAGGCCTCTCAGCTTCACTTGTGATTACATCCTCAGCTTCTTTTTTGTAGCTGGGCTGCTTCTAGCAGGCTTTCTTCCGAGAGGCCCCCCTCTGCCATTTTAATCTATCTCCATGCATTCCAGGTGTCGGGAAGCAATTGAAGAGGCCGGGGGTCAGGTATCCCAGAATGTTGAATTTTTAGAGTATCGGTTGGCTGTCAGGGCTCTAACAAATCCACCTTCATTCAAATCAAAAGTCTCAAGCCGCATCTCAGAAAAAGTAAATTGGTTTATTAGAAATTGCCATGTTGGCACGTGGCTGGGTGCAGCCAATACTAAATCACATCATACATTTCTCCCTTGACCCTGGTCTTTCCCCCAGCCCTTGGATGTGACTTCTCCAATGGGACACATACGTCTTCATCATGCTCTCCATAAACCTTCTTATGCTCCGACAACTTTGGCCCTACTGAGGTGATTATCTAGGCATTTCAAGAATGCCTTGTTTTCCCCCACTCCCTTTTTCTGGCAGCTAAAAAGACCAAAGGAGTATCTTTTTAATTGACATCAGGATCAGCTCAGCTTTATACAAAATTAAACACCTAGTCTATGGACTACAAATGAATCAAAAGAAGCATCTTGAGGTCATTTTAAAGAATAGCAATTCTTCAGTCCACAGTTTTAGTGGGATTCAAAAATTTTTACTACCATTTCTGTAGGTATGGCTTGGTGGGCATGGCAGGAGAAGGATACTGTAAAATCTCCAGTCAGAGGTAGCATTTGCCGGTTCTCTGAACTACTCAAAATTTCCGCTATTAGTTCTCCAGAACTGCTCAGAACCTGCTGAATACCACCTCTGGAGTAAATGCTAAATTCACAAATTAAAGGAAATCTTTTCTCTGAAATAATATCCTCTTCATTTACTAAACTCACCACCATAGAACTGTGAGCCTATTGGTCTTTTTTAAGTACAACTATTTACAGAAAAAATAGTACAATTTTTAATGGAAATCTGGAATCTGAGTGCATTGGATAATTAGAAACATAAATAAACAAACAATAAACAAACAAATGAATAAATAAATAAATAAGCCTTATTGCTACTCTCATCTAGTAGAGTAGTTACACATTTTGGATCTCAAATGAGGCTTCCATCTCTTCCATCTCTTCAACAGACTGGTGGTCATGCTCAACTGCGTTTGGACACATTTGTTATTATTTAGACCAATTTGGCAAGGGCAGTATGATGCATACATTTTAAAAACCTCATTCAAAGCACATGAGACAGTGCCACCTGTAGCTTCTTCTAGTGTTACTCAGATGTTCTGGAAGCAGTTAGAAGTCTCTCTCTTATAAAAAGAATTTTACAAATCTTTATTTCTGAAAAAACATTTTAAAGAAACATTTTATTGATTTACACAAGCAAGGTTACAAACTTTTTTTTTCTGTATCTGGAAAATTTAGTTAGGATTAGAAATACATAATACACAATTTCCCAGACTTTCCCAGACTTTCAGACTCATGGAAAGTCCTGGCAGAACACTTAAAGTAGGCTTTTCCAAGGGCCAAAAAAAATATGTATTCCCAATATTTCCTCCACTGGATAAATACAAACTGTTCAAGGAATGAGGCAATAGAAGACTTTATAGGACGCAAGCTTTGGCTGTTAGCTTCTATTGATTATAGTTTGCTGAATGGTATAATTGAAATTTCAACTATTTTAAATGAGATAAATTCAATCCTTTCTTCTTCAGCTCATGAGCTTACCCCAATTAGAAAACATAAGCAGTGTTGTAAAAATAGTGCATACCATGTCACTTAAAATCAAAGACAATTTGTATTACTCTTACTACTTACATAGAATGCAAAGGATTGTCTTTAAACTCTTTAAAATGTTAGGAAATGACTTGGGATTTGTACTTGATTTGAAGTGTGCATGATGTAACTATTAAACTGACTTTGGAAATTTATCAATAATTAGTTATAGGCTATATTATAGCCATCAAATATACTAAGCAAACATTTTTCTAAATTTGTTGGAAAAGATCATTAAATTAATACATATTCCCATCTGTTAGCAATGGCCATTTACTTATTCATTTGGTTGAAAGTTTTTTTTTTTTTAAGGGAAGACATGTTACTATATTGGGCAATTAATGCTAGCACAGCTTTATTGTTCAGTTCTGTCAAATCATGAAGAATGCCGTAATGGCCTAGAGGTGAAGATGCTCACTTGGAAGGTTGAGAGCAGGGGTGGGATGCTACCAGTTCTGCCCAGTTCTATAGAACCAGTAGCTCTGAAGAGCAGCAGACACTGAACCTGTTCTGTGTTTGCTGCTGTTTGGCCCACCCGCCCGCCGGGCTCTTACCTGTCCTTTATTTCCTGCTTTTACAACCTCAGCTGCTTTGCGCGGCACAGCTGAGGTTGAAAAATCAGGAAAAAAGTGGCTTTTCAAACACTGTGCACCCGCAAAACATAGTCATCGAACCAGTAGTAACACCGGT